GCAATCCCTTCTTCTCCATTCTCCTCTCGGTATCTTGGGCACGCACGCACGCGCCCGGAGTGAGTTTTAAGCCATCGGGTCTGGGACACGAACTGCGGTCGACTACGTGGGAGTCCAGCGACATAGCCATTACGCTAACTACTGGTTCCCTGCTTTATCTTCATTTTTTTGGGTAAAGAATTATCTTATTTAACTCTTTATTTATTTATTTTAATTTGACCAGATAAGGACATAGTGAGAGAGAGAGGGAAAGCGAGAAGGCAAGTCAGCAGGCCCAGGACTTAAACCATGGTCGGCCACGTGGGAGTCCAGTGCCCCCAATCAGCATGCCACCTGCCGGCTCCTCTGCTTTATTTCCTTGCATGTCGACTTTCTCTGTAGTCTGGCCCTTCTTGTGCTTGTAAAGTGATTGATTGTAGGTAGCCAAGATTACTTTTTTATACCTAGGAAAAAACAGGCCATCCTCAGGCTTCAGCTGTGGTAGATCAAAGTCCCAAGTATTGTCCTAATGGACCACCTTAAGTTGTGAGTTCCAAATCAATCCTGTGGCCAGGGAGGGACTGTGTACTGGTTAACCTGGCCTGAACTGCTGGTCCCTAACCATTCTCCTGTCTAGTAAGTGAGATGATTGACTTAGCCCCTTAGGACATACCCTAGGAGCTGGACCGAGGTTCAACCCCTCCCCACCTCTCTCTCTCTCTCTCACACTCTCTCTCTCTCAGACACACACACCTTTCTGCCTCCTGCAGAGAACATGGCTACTCGGGAACCAGCAGTTAGCATAATGGCTATGTCGCTGGACTCCCACGTAGTCGACTGCGGTTCGCATCCCGGACCCGGTGGCTTAAAACTCACGCCGGGCGCGTGTGCGTGCGTGTCCAAGATCCCGAGAGGAGAATGGAGGAGAAGGGATTGCGGCATGACCATCCCCCCTGGGGGTGATTTCTCGCTTTCTGTCTCTATGTCTCTCTCTGTCTGTCTGGCGAGCGCACGCGCCCTACAGTGAAAAACCTCTAAGAAAAAAAAAAAAAAGAGAATATGGCTACTCCATCGTGAGGAGGAGCAGGACGGACATAGGGAGACAACTGCAATGTCCTCTGTGTTCTCTCAGGGTCTCACTTCTTCCTTTCTTTGCAGCCCAAGGGAATTTCTCATTTTTTTCTTTAGGCAGAAAATCATCTCTGTTATTCCTTGAGCAATACTCTAACTCCCTAACCTGCAGCAGACTCCTTGAAGCACACCTTTCCTGCTCAAAGTCCACGTTTGTCTTAGAGAAGATGCACAGTCCCTGGCTTTAGTAATATAAAGTATGATCATTTGAAGGTATAGACTTGATCTGTTTCTTAGGAGGGTTTAGGTGGGTGTGATAAGCAGACAGTTCTTAGCTAAGCCTGAAGTTAAATTTATCATGGTGGACCTTTGTGAAGAGAGGTGTCTATCATGGAATAAAATGTAACTTCTTTTTTTTTTTTTTTTGGAGAGGTTTTCATTATAGGGCACGTGCGCTCGCCAGACAGACAGAGAGAGACATAGAGAAAGCGAGAAATCACCCCCCAGGGGGGATGGTCACGCCACAATCCCTTCTCCTCCATTCTCCTCTCGGGATCTTGGGCATGCACTCACATGCCCATCATGAGTTTAAGCCACCGGGTCCGGGACTTGAACCGCGGTCGACTACGTGGGAGTCCAGCGACATAGCCAATACGCTAACTGCTGGTCCCATAAAACGTAACTTCTCAAAGTGGTTGGATAAGACTCAGGCCATTACTTGTGGATGAACGAATCCCATCACTGATCCTTTGTGGAATGAGAAGGCAATAAGTAGATGGATAAGAAGTGGGACCAGCAGTTAACGTAATGGCTATGTCGCTGGACTCCCACGTAGTCAACTGCGGTTCGTGTCCCAGACCCGGTGGCTTAAAACTCACGCCGGGCGCGTGTACATGCGTGCCCAAGATCCCGAGAGGAGAATGGAGGAGAAGGGATTGTGGTGTGGCCATCCCCCCTGGGGGGTGATTTCTCGCTTTCTCTCTCTGTCTGTCTGGTAAGCACACGCGCCCTATAGCAAAATCCTCTCAAAAAAAAAGAGGAAGGAAGCGAAGAGATTATGGTTTTCTACAATAGCCTGCCTCATCAGAAAACCTTCAAGAACGGCTCTTTGAAATTCTACCTTATCCTGATTCTTTTCAATGGGAACTTGCTTTTATATGTTTGGGAATGGATGGAATTATGACTTCTCTATACCACTATTTTCTGTCCTTTACATCTCTGTCTCTCAGATTTCTGTGTCACTCATCTTTTCATACCCACCTTCACTCCCCCCCGTCCCTTCCATCTCTACTCCTTTCCTAACAGGCCCCACTCCTCTGGGCTTCTGGGCTAGCCTTGTTTGTATCTTTTTTTTTTTTGAGAAGTTTTTGCTATAGGGCGCGTGCGTTCGCCAGAAAGACAGAGAGAGAGAGACAGAAAGCGAGAAATCACCCCCCATGGGGGATGGTCACGCCTCAATCCCTTCTCCTCCATTCTCCTCTTGGGATCTTGGGCATGCACGCACACGCGCCCGGCGTGAGTTTAAGCCACCGGGTCCAGGACATGAACCGCGGTCGACTACATGGGAGTCCAGCGACATAGCCATTACGCTGACTGCTGGTCCCGCCTTGTTTGTATCTTGACCCTGGCAGGATACCCATTTCTCACACCTGCAGAGATCTCCCATCTTGAGCAGGTGGAGGAGCCATTGAACCTCAAAGTGCAAGGAGAGGGTCCAAGCCTAATTTGTACTGGTAAGTGAAAGAAAGTGAGCATTTTTCTCCCGGACCTAACACTTCCGTCTGTCTTTCCTTCATAAAATGTTAAAAATCCATTTTGTCATTCATGTTCTAAGTAAGTGACTCTCAAAGATCTCTAATCAGCTATTTAATTCAGAGGAAACTTAAACCCTAAACTAACAACTTTCCTTAGGAGGAGCACAATTAATAAAACCAGGATGGGTCATGGGTCTCAGGCTTAACCTGAGCAGATGACCTACCCATCCGGCTGCCATACTCAACTGAAACTTGAAATGTACTTGCTGTGGGACCAGCGGTTAGTGTAATGGCTGTGTCGCTGGACTCCCACGTAGTCGACCGCGGTTTGCGTCCTGGATCCGGTGACTTAAAACTCACGCCGGGTGCATGTGCGTGCGTGCCCAAGATCCCAAGAGGAGAATGGAAGAGAAGGGATTGCGATGTGGCCATCCCCCCTGGGGGATGATTTCTTGCTTTCTGTCTCTCTCTCTCTGGCGCATGCATGCACCCTATAGCAAAAACCTCTCAAAAAAAAAAAAAAACATATATATATACTGGCTGTATTTTACTCATTGTGTTGGTTACTGGGGATCAGAAAAATCAAGTAGTATATGATCTTTATCCTGAAAGGGCTCACAGTCTAATTGAATGCTACACACAAATGACTAAATGAAAAAAAAATGATAGCGCCGTTACAGAGGTACGTATCAGATACTATTGGAACAAAGAGGAGGGGGTCTTTGCACAACTCCGCCTGAAGCCTTGTTGCTGCCAACTGTGTGACAGGATCAGGTTCTTCAGGTAAACCACAAAGGATTCCTGATTCCTGACCAGGGCCTCTGCCCTGAGTTCTGGCCTGTTCTTCTCCTGTTATAAACTGGACTCAGCTACCTGGAGGGGATTCTGACTTATCTCTTTTACAGTCATTACAGCTGTTTTCTGAGAGTTGTCCTGTGTTTAGTCCGGTGTTAGGAATCGGCCCTCAGGCGTTCTGTCTGGTTTCTGCCTTTTTCTTTTGGTTGTGTTCTCTGGGTTAGCTCTCTTTTTTGCCATTGGTAGCTAGGACAGGGTCATTGAGACACAGTAGTGCCACTACTCGGAGAGAAAGGGACATATTCATACCGCCGGGTGACCTTAATCACTTTGTCATGGGTAATGACGATATTTGAAGCTCTGATTTCTTCTTTCAGAGGGTGTGTTGAAGAAGGAGAAAGATTTTATTCTGAAGGAGGACATTTTTGAGAAGACACAGGACCACATGGTACTATCAAGTGGACTCCAGTGGTGTGGCGCCCAGGAATTATGGTTTGGAAAAACCTGCACAGAGGAGAAATACAGGTTAGGGAGATGGCCTGGATATTCCAGTGGGAAAAGTGTGGAGAGCACCACAGAAGATATTATAGAAGTGATTGTGAAGGACGACATGATCTCCATGGAAGAGAGTTCGGAGGATACTGATGTCAGTAACCGTCTTGGTGTACGTCAGAAGATTCTAAATGAACAGGTATTCTATATATGCGAAGAATGTGGCAAGTGTTTTGATCAAAATGAAGACTTTGCTCGGCATCAGAGAACTCATAATGGAGAGAAGATCTATGGCTGTAAGGAATGTGGGAAGGCTTTCGGTTTTAGATCGCATTGCATTGCACATCAAAGAATTCACAGTCGAGAGAAACCTTACGAATGTCAAGAATGTGCTAAAGCCTTTATCTGGAAGTCAAATCTGATTAGGCACCAGAGAATACATACGGGAGAGAAACCTTTTGAATGCAAGGAGTGTGGCAAGGGCTTTAGTCAGAATACAAGCCTTACACAACATCAGCGAATTCACACGGGGGAGAAACCATACACATGTAAGGAATGTGGGAAAAGCTTCGCTCGCAACCCAGCCCTTCTTCGACACCAGAGAATCCACACTGGGGAGAAGCCGTATGAATGTAAGGACTGTGGGAAAGGCTTCATGTGGAACTCCGATCTTGTTCAGCACCAGAGGGTGCACACTGGGGAGAAGCCTCATGAATGCACTGACTGTCGGAAAAGCTTCATTTGCAAGGCGCACCTCATCCGACATCAGAGAATCCATACTGGGGAAAGACCCTACCGATGTAATGACTGTGGGAAAGCCTTCAGTCAGAACTCTGTCTTGATAAAGCACCAGAGGCGCCACATTAGAGAGAAATCCTATGACTGTCAGACCTCTCCTCTTCTTGAACATTAGAGAATACTTGTTTATGATTCTTATGCTACTGGCACTCCAGAAACAAAATAAGATGCCCTTCCTTAATATCCTGTATCCCTAGCCAACCTTTGTCCTTTCTGAACAGATAGCATGTATTCTAGCAAGACTATTTGGCCATGTTTATACTAGGTACTGATTATTTGAGCACCTACTCAATATCACATTTTAGGCTAACTATTTTACATATGATTATTTGAGCACCTACTCAATATCACATTGTGGGTTAACTATTTTACATCTATTTTCATAGCAGTCCTATTGTCCCCATTTTTAAATATGAGGTTAAAGGGGTTATAAAACTCACTTAGGGTCACTCAGCTGGTAAATTAGAGAGTTGAGATTGGAACTCGGCCTATCTAACTCCAGAATACACTGTTCTTTATTTAATTGTTCATTTTAGGATTTACCTATTTTAATTGGCTGACGTTTCCCGGGGCTTTTAGTTTCTCTTTGTAGAAGAGACTCAACTCCTTCAACTAAGCAAACCTCTTTTCAAGAGGTTTGACCAAGACCCAGCTCCTTCAACCAAGACCCAAACTCCTTCAACTAAGCAAACCTCTTTTCCTCTTCTCTTTGTATCAGTATCACCCAACTGAGTATTTATTTTTTAATTTTATTTATTTTATTTATGATAGTGGGTGCATGTACATTAGAAAAAGAGAAGCACCCTCACTGGAGCTTCATCCCACCATGGTCTCCTTTCCCTGGATCCTCTAGCTTATCAGGATTTGGGGCATGCATGCATACACCCAGCATGCTTTCAAGACAACCAAGGGCTCTGAATTCACAGCTTGTAACATTACAGTTCAGTTTGCTGCTGACTGCATTAGGCTGTGCCCAAAATTAGTATTTAATTGTGTACTGTATTCTTTTTTTTTTTTTTTTCCCAGTTTCATGTCTCAGTCTTGACTTCAGCTAAATGCTAAATGTCTCTTTGAGGACCAACACTGTGTTTCTTTTATATTTTTCTTTTTTTTTAATTGCTCAAGGGCTCATGAACTCACCAGAGAGACAAAGGGAGAGGGGAAAGGCACCTCTTAGTGGGGTATGGTCACTTCACAATCTCTTCTTCTCTATTTCTCTATCCTGTTGGGATTTGGGGCACACATGCACATAAACCTAGTGTGTCTTTTAAACTGTGGGGGCTGGGATTTGAACTGCAATAAGCCATGTGGGGCCTGGCTCCTTTAACCACTAAGCTACAGGACTGGCCCTGTTTTATACTTTTTAAGTTTTGAAACTTACTTATTTTTGACTAGATATATTTTCTCATGATTAAAAACAAAGATTGAAATAGTTCAAAAGGGTGTTCAGTGCAAACTAAATTTGTCACTCGTGTCTCCCAGTTCTCTCCAGAGACAATCACTGTTAACAGGTTGGGTGTCTTTCTGGAGGTACTCTTTCTCTATATACAAATATTTATTAATGTTGTTTTTCATATGTCTACCTCACTGAAAACCATATTTAATGTAGGTGACATTTCAGTTAAATTGCCACCTCCAGGGCCTTACCTTCATCAGAAATTACGGTCCTTCTTTTTTATTTTTGGAGAAGTTTTTGCTATAGGGAGCGTGCGTCGCCAGCCAGACAGAGAGAGACAGAAAGTGAGAAATCACCCCCCAGGGGCGATGGCCACACCGCAATCCCTTCTCCGTTCTCTTGGGATCTTGGGCACGCATGCACACGTGCCCGGCATGAGTTTTAAGCCACTGGGTCCAGGACGCAAACCACGGTTGACTACGTGGGAGTCCAGCGACATACCCAGTATGCTAACTGCTGGTTCCCGAGAAATTATGGTCTTTCTTGAGGTCACCAAGGTAGTTCAGGGAAAGCAGCAGAAGGTAATCTGGGTCGTCCACCTCAAGAGACCTGATTGACCTGGTGTTGGTCAGCACTTGGGCTGGGAAAATGTAAACCCAGTTGGAGATTTTTTTTCGCATAACCATGTATACAGCTACAAACCTTATTATTGTACCATATCCTAAAGCCTCTCCCAGCCTGTCTCCCACTGGCCATCATAATTGTCTGTGGGCCCACCATCAAGGAACAGAGAATCGGTCACTTTCTAGTGATGGTTAATGCTCTGTTAGGTAGTTCCATCCCGTCAGACTTGGAAATTTCAATAATCTAGTATCTTGGCAGCAGATTTACAAATGCCCTCCCTAGATCCAGGAGCAAAGAGATAATAAATGCTAGAACATGTAACTCCTATACCAGAAAGTAAGGAATTGCAAAATTTTAGCCAACTACCTGAAGTCAAGAGTCTATAAAATATTTTTTAAAAAGGATGCAAGGGAACCAGCAGTTAGCATAATGGCTATGTCACTGGACTCCCACGTAGTCGACCGTGGTTCGAGTCCCGGACCCAGTGGCTTAAACTCACGCCAGGCGCGTGTGCGTGTGTGCCCAAGATCCCGAGAGGAGAATGGAGGAGAAGGGATTGCGGTGTGACCATCCCCCCTGGGGGTTGATTTCTCGCTTTCTGTCTCTCTGTCTCTCTCTGTCTGTCTGGCGAGCGCACACGCCCTATAGCAAAAACCTCTTGAAAAAAAAGAAAGAGGATGCAAGCTGTTAATACTGACTATGAAGACATGCAAGATATTAGAGAGTAGTACTAATCATCTGAAGGGTTTAGAATGAGAACTTGTTCAGGGGAGAATAGAGGCCAGCAGATGGTGTTGTAGTTATATCGCTGAAATCCTACATGGCTGACCTCAGTTTGAGTCCCAGACCCAGTGGCTTGAAAATCATGCCAGGCGTGTGTGCATCCCAGGAGGAGGGTAAAGGAGAATGGCCATCCCCCCACGGGGGGGTGGTTTCTCATTTCTCTCTCGCTATTTGTCTCTCTCTGGTGAGCATTTGTGTCCTATGGCAGAAACTTATTTTTCTTATTTTTTGGAGAGGTTTTTGCTGTAGGACACATGTGCTCACCAGAAAGAGAGAAAGACAGACAGAAAGCGAGAAATCACCCCTCAGGGGGTGGGGGATGACCACACTGCAATCCCTTCTCCTCCATTCTCCTCTCAGGAACTTGGGCACACATGCACATGTGCCTGGCATGAATTTAAGCCACCAGGTTCAGGACTTGAATCGTGGTGAACTACGTGGGAGTCCAGCGACATAGCCATTACGCCAACTACTGGTCCCGTTCTTCTTTTATTTTTTTAAATTAAATTTTTTTTTTTTAATTTGACCAGAGTTGGGGGAGAGAAAAAGTGAGAAACAAGCCAGCAATCTTAACCACCACGCTACCTGCCAACCCCCAAGAAACTTCCAGAAAAAATATTCAGGGGAGAAAAATGCTGACCAAAGAGATAAGAAACATCATCCCAGACTCTTCACATTTAGAACCCCTTAGTGCAGTCTGCCTCGCTGCTGTTGAGATATCCTACTTTACAAGCGCCCGGCCAGTCGATGTCATTGTTGACTAAGGATCAAAGAAGACAAGCCAGGGGCATGTCTGGACCAAATTTCTGTTTCTAAACATTGCAAACCCCAATAAGTTTAGAAGCCTTGACTTCTGGGGAACCAGCAGTTAGCGTAATGGCTATGTCGCTGGACTCCCACGTAGTCGACCGCGGTTCGCGTCCCGGACCCAGTGGCTTAAAACTCACGCCGGGCGCGTGTGCGTGCGTGCCCAAGATCCCGAGAGGAGATTGGAGAAGGGATTGTGGTGTGGCCATCCCCCCCGGGGGGTGATTTCTCGCTTTCTGTCTCCCCCTGGGGGGTGATTTCTCGCTTTCTGTCTCTATGTCTCTCTCTGTCTGGCGAGCGCACATGCCCAATAGCGAAAATCTCTCCAAAAAAAAAAAAAAAAAAGAAGCCCTGACTTCTGAAACCTAAGGTCATATGGTAAGGTTGGCTCTGCATTGTCTAAGAAAGGTAACATAAACAGCAAGCTCTGCTGTGTGCTCCATAGAACCAGCCACTGGCAGTGACTGCTGTGTACAGGTCTGGGAGGGGCAGCAGGGGTCTATGAAGCAGATGTTACTGAGTACCTACCTGTGCACAAAGCCCTGTGCAAGCGCTGGGTAAGCAATAAGAATGGCTCCCTGCCTTTCTGGAACATTTAGCCTAATGGGAGAGACCAGCCCAGACTTAGGTAAACATAGTAAATAAACATTGCTGAATGATTTAGAGGGAATGAATAGAGTACTGAGAGGCCTGGTGAGGCTTATCCTAAGAGATACCCAAAGCTGAGACTTGAAGGATGAGAAAGAATCACTTGTATCAAGAACAGGAAGAACAACTGAGGGAACAGCTGTGCAGAACTGATGTTTGAAGAGCTTGGCATATTCAAGAAAACAAAAGGTTTTTTGATCAAGGGTGTGCATGACGTAAGTTGAATTTGAAGAGACCCAAGATGGATCTAATGGAATGCCAACTCAGTAGTTAGGGAGTGAGGTGGGGAGGTTCCAGCAAGGAAGCCTAAGAAAGCAGCCAGTGAGAATTGGCATTATCAGTGGACATGAAGGCAGCAGTTGAAATAGGGTCGGAGCTTGGACTAAGGCTCCAAATTTCTAAAAGAAGATAATACTGAGTATAATACAGAATAATACTCAGTTAAAACACTTGGGGCCAGCAGGTGGCGTGGTGGTTAAGGGTGCTGGACTTCCACATGGCCGACCCCAGTTCAAGTCCTGGACCTGGCGGCTTGCTTTCTCACTTTCCTTCACATCTGGCTCTCTGGTCAAATTAAAATAAATGAATAAAGTTCAATAAGAAAAATTAAAAAAAAAAAAACTGGTAAGGGCTAGCAGGTAGTATGGTGGTTGAGGCATTGGACTCCCATATGACCAACTGTGGTTTGAGTCCCGGACCTGGAGGCTTGCTTTCTCACTCTTTCTCCCTCTCTTTGTTTCTCTCTGGTCAAAATTTAAAACTAACAACAACAATAGTAAATTAAATCAATAATTCTTAAAAAAAAAAAAAAGTATTAGTTTCCAGAGTGACAATGGCATGTATGGTGGACGAAGCCAGTATAGTCCAATGGAAAGAGATCAAGAATAGGAGTAAGAGGGAACCAGCAGTTAGCATAATGGCTATATCGCTGGACTCCCACGTACTCGACTGCGGTTTGCGGCCTAAACCCCGCGGCTTAAAA